AAGTTTGATTCTCTCCCAAGTAAAGGTGACCCTGCAGTACATGGTCCAGGGCTGGTGTGCTGGCTCCGTGTCAGACTCCTCAGAAACTAGGCTTCGTTGCACCTCCCCAGTTCGCCAGCTCTAGTTATGACTCCTGTCCTCATGGTCCGGGATGGTGGTCCCCACATTCCAGGAAGAAAACTGGAGGAAGGGAAGCAGGGCAGGGAAGAAAGGGCCAGCTGTGTATGTCTTTGAAGGAAGGTTTCCGCCATGCTGTAGCACCAGTAGGCAGAGAGGGAAAAGCTTTGTGCTGGGAGATACTGGGCATGAATGATGCGGCCATTGATGATTAGTTCCGTGATGCTGGGGGAGGTTGGACTACTGTGAGGTTTAGTTTCCTCTCCTGTAACATGGCAATGATGATGGTGATGACATGATGGTGATGGTGATGACAAGGATGATGATGGTGATGAGGATGTGGATGAGGATGGAGATGATGGTGATGACAAGGATGATGATGATGAGGAGGAGGATGTGGATTAGGATGGTGATGGTGATGATGGTGATGATGGTGATGGTGATGACAAGGATGATGATGGTGAGGAGGAGGAGGATGTGGATGAGGATGGAGATGATGGTGATGACAATGATGATGATGATGAGGAGGAGGATGTGGATGAGGATGGTGATGGTGATGATGGTGATGACAAGGATGATGATGATGATGAGGAGGATGTGGATGAGGATGGTGATGATGGTGATGGTGAAGACGAGGATGATGATGATGAGCGGGAGGATGTAGATAAGGATAGTGATGATGGGGATGGTGATGGCAATGGTGACGATGATGGTGATGCTGATATAATGGTGGTGCTAACTGTGATGGTGATAATCATGATGGTGATAATGGTGGGGATGATGGTGATGGTGGTAATGGTGATGGTGATATTAGTGATGGTGGTAACAGCGGTGGTGGTGATGATGATGGTGATAATGGTGGGGATGATGATGATACATTAGTGGTGGAAGTAATAGTGATGGTGATGATCATGATGGCAATGGTGGGGGGGATGATGGTGATGGTGGTAATGGTGATAATGATGGTGATGATGATATGAGTGGCGGTGGTAAGAGTGATGGTGATGATGATGATAGTGATCATGATGGTGATGATATTAGTGGTGATGGTGGGGATGATGATGATGGTGGGGATGATGGTGATCGTGGTGGGGATAATGATGATGATGGTGATGATGGTAGGAATGACAGTGATGATGGTGATGGTGGGGATGACGGTGATGATGGTGATGGTGGTGTGGATATGATGGTGACTGTGCTGTGGCCTGCCTCACAGAACTGTCGTAAGAGACAAATGAACTGAAGTGTACAATCCCTCAAACCTTAGAATGTGTCATACAAATCCCACTTGTTTTATTCAGGACCCACTTCTGATGAAAACCATTCTTCTCTTGAAGGCTCACATTGAAAAACAAGCAGCTGCGATTAATTAAAACACAATTATTTATTACATTTGTGTTTGTTTATGTATTTCTGCATCAGAAGAGAAATAAATGAATATGCAGTGAATGAATTTTCCAAGAAAGATGGATTTATAAATACCTCTCAGGAAACACAAACAAGATGCACTTTCCTAACTGATCCTCGCATTAGACAGACCTGGCGTGACGCCATGCTGTATCCTGGTTATATGTCCCTCTGCGTATCACAGCTTGTATGAGAAGCACTAACTGTGGTCTCCCCCGCACCTGGCTCCGTGTCCATATCTCCAACACGCTCCACAAAAGCCTTGATGTGAATCACACCAGCTATGATGAGGTCCTGGGGTGGTTTTCATCAGCTGCTTGCAGACCAACCAGCAACTCTTCGAAAACACACTTGCCCTAACATGCCTGTCCTGTCATGCATCCTAGGGACTCAGCTCCTGGGGAACATTGATACGCTCGCATGTGAGTGTGTGGGTGTGTGGTCGCACTCATCACTAATCTGCATCCCAGACTTTTGTCACAGGCATTTAATCACCTGGTTCTTTTTTTAAAAATTTACTTATTTATTCATAAGAGACACAGAGAGAGGCAGAGACATAAGCAGAGAGAGAAGCAGGCTCCCTGCAGGGAGCCCAATGTTGGACTCAATCCCAGGACCCCGCGATCACACCCTGAGCTGAAGGCAAATGCTCAACCGCTGAGCCACCCAGGCGTCCCTAATCACCAGGTTCTATGCCAGCATGCAGCTACACCAGTATTTACTTGATATTTCTGTCTTCTAAGACATTTAAGATACATGTGCATGGATGGATGTATATAAAATACACAATCATACCTATTTGTATATACATATGTGTATATATGATACAATGTATACATGTTATACAATTATATATTTGCACATATGTGTGTATATACCATATAATATGTATAATTATGCAATTTGTATATATTTATTAATGTACATAGTGCATATATAATGTCATATAATTATGTTTCTATATTCTGTATATTTGCATACACATCGCATATATGGATATTATATAATGTATATATAATCATTATTTGCAAATATGTATATGTGTTATGTAACAAAAGTATATAATTTTTATATATATTTGTACGTATATATGTGAATACATGTGTATATATTATGCAATATACATAATTATACAATCACATAAATGTATATTATGTAATGTATGTATAATCATGTATTTGCATATATGTATATGTGTTACATATCAAAATTATATAATTTTCATATATATTTGTATGTATATATGTGAATACATGTGTATATGTTATGCAATATATATAATTATACAATTACATATTTATATGTATATATAGGTGTATATACATATAGGTATGTGTGTATATATAGATATGTGTATATATGTTTATATGTGTGTATATATTGTATGCACATAGAGGCACATATTTGTAAAAATTATATATATTATGTTACGTGATTACATACGAACATCATATACAATTATAGATACATAATTATATGAAAATATATTACCCATCATACCAAGTACTCTATGCAGCACATACACTGAATAATATGTAACGCATACATAATATACATAAAAATATAAGATTTATCTCCTGTATTCTATATAATATGTATATCCTATGTATTGTATATTGAATGTATATGTACATATACAGTATATACATAAAATGATAGCTAATGTCCTCATCATGTGCACTGTTATGGAATGTAAGAAATGGAACCTGGGGTAGAGCTCGGGGGCCTTGAGGTGATCGGTGCCGGGTGTGCGGGCTCGGGGCTGGGTCCATACGACAGAGGTATGTTTCCGCACCTCACGGCACATCCTGATTTTGTTACTTGTCCTTCTCTACATGTGAGCACGGCCGGTGCGATCAGCCAAGCATCTGTTTTCTCTCTTCCACGCACCCTCTTGAAGACGAATGCACTGGAGCGTTTCTGCGGGGCTGGGCATGGACGCAGGTGCCCACCCCATGGGCCCTGCGGCTGGCTCCAGGCAAGCACACAGGTGAGCACAGGTGAGGGGGCTCTGGGCGTCGTGAAGACTTGCGTACCCGGGCCTTAGAAGCAGGTGGGAGTGTACTGACTCCAGTTGTCTGTCTGCAGCCCGGGCTGGCTTGCGGGTTCCCTCTTCTTGCTGCAACGTGAGAGCGTTTTAACACGGGAGGAGATGTGGGTTGAAGCCTTGAGAATTCGTCCATGCCGGCCATCGTGTGCTCTGCTGTGACTGCTGAGCTAGGCGTCCACGGGTGCCCAGAGTGTGTGCCATGCACCTGCAGCACCGACCTCACCTGGGGGCAGAAGTCTCGGCTCTGCTACATCGCAATCTGCCCTTCCGCAAGACTCCCGGAAACTGTGTGCCTCGCCAGCCTGAGAAGCCGGGACGTGTACTCTGAGGTCTGGCGCGGTTTCTGCAAAAAGCGACCCACAGATGGGGGGAAATAGAAAACTGCCAAAACACGCACCAGGCTTCACTGTAGTTTTGAGACTCCCTGTGCAAGACTGTGGATGCACACATGGGGACGAAGGATAGACGCCGATGTTTGCACTTTTGAGCTGCTCTAATAGGCCAGGCCCACAAGGCAGGGGAATGTGGGAATTTTACTAATGCACGTATTGTCCATGCCAAGTGAATATTTGGTTAATCTTGCTGGTGTGGAAGAACAACACCAACGTTTCTCTTGGAGACCCTGTGGAGCCTGTCACTGGCTCCAGGTCTCCGGTCGTTTTGTCTTCCTCAACAGCAAGCAGATCTGTGATGGTCGCTTTTATGCGTCAACATGTCCGAGCCACAGTGCTACAGAAATGTGATCAAATATCCCACGAGGTGGGTGGGCCTCATCTAATCAGTTGAGGGCTTTAAGAGAATGAGCAGTGACCTCCCCTGAGCAAAAGGGAATCCTGTTGGCACATGGTCTGCACACCTCAGCTGTTTCCCACATGTCTAGTGTGCTGGTCTACCCTGAAGGTTTTGGACTTCTCAGCTCCCACTATGGCATGACCCAGTTCTTAAAAAAAAAAAAAGAAAAAAGAAAAAAAATCTCTTGTCTTTATATGAATATGCAACCTTTCAGTTCCGTTTCTCTGGACAACCCTGACAGATGCACGATCTGAGCCTCCTTGGGGCTCACCGTAGTACAGCTAAGAGCGTGATCACATATTGCAGCTCATACACAAGCACCAAATCCACCCACCCACGATTCACGAGCCCTTGTGGGATAGGAAAAAGGAAAAACAAAATGACATGGAAACATAAAAAAGCATGTTTCTCCCATCCCAGAAGGCTGTGGGCAGGTCTTCAGGGTAAGGATACCTTCAGAATGCTTCGGAAGATGTGAATCTAGGTGTTTGAGGTTATATCGGTAATATATTATAATATACCATTATAAATGGTTATATCAGTAATAAATAACAAATCACTTGCAATAACAATAACAATTAATAATAATAATAATAACAATAATAATAATAATAATAATAAAGAAGTCCTCATTGCTACTATGTCTAAACAAAGGAGAACAAACTATCGGATGGCAGCTGTCAGGGGGATAGTTTTGTATCATTGATATTGCGAATTCGGTGATGGCGAATTGTGTATAGGGAGCAGTATGTGCCGTGTGTTGGTACATGTGTGCCTGTATGCATGTGGTGCGGTACGTGCATGTGGGGCCGAGGACATCAATGCACGTATGTACGGACGTGTGTCTTATACCCACGTAAGCACACATGTCAGCTAAGGACGCCAGGCATCAGGCAGGTGCATCAAGGCAACCCTAACTAATTGAGACATAATTGGAGGAGCATGTGCTCAGATGTGTGCCCGTCACCCAAATACACCATGGGACCACCAAGACTTGGTTTTCACAGTCTGAACACGCAGGTCCCCAGAGTCCCTTCTAGGTCAGACCACCTGTCATCCTGGTGGGAAACCGCAGACAGGATTTAAGTCACGAGCCATCTGCCACGGGAAGGAGCAACATCCCTGAGGGAGCCAGCCTCCTGGAAAACACTGAGCGAGGCGTAGCGGAGCCTGACAAGAGGCAACAGGGCACGCCAGGCACAGTTACCGCCAACGCCCGACACGGGATGCGGCGACTGGAGGGTAATAGACTGGGCTGCCTGCATGCATCAGTCGTGTTCACGATGCACGGTGGCCCCTAATCAGCTCCACAGAGGAGCTCAGAGGTGAGGAACAGCCCCGGTCCTGCTGCTGCTGCTGCTGCCGCTCATCACACTTGCTGACCTCTCCCCGGCTCCCTGAGCGTGGCTGCTGCGGGTGTGTGCACTAGACCGTGTTCACCAGACCGTCCTTCTTTGAGGAAAAGACATTCAGAGCTGCACAGAGATCCCATCTGGACCAGAGCATGCTCCGAACGAATGTCCTCTCGAGAGAGGCAGAGGCACGGCGTGGGGCAGCAGCATCCCGTCCTTTTACCCATTGTCTCCCCCAGTCTTTACACCTCTGGATTCAAAGATCTCTTTCGAACTGAAACTCTGCACGCTCCTCCTGGAGCAGGTGCACACGTAGACACACACGTTACCCATCACTGGGTAGCTGTACTTATTTCTTGAGGCTCTTTTTGGCGCCACTTCTACGTAGACATGCATGGACCTCATTCAAATGTCAAGGTTGGAGAACCTTCATGGACAAGGGGAATGCCTCCCTTCATAAAATGATTTTTTGGAAACGGCCTTTTTATTCCTTAGAACTGCTACGCCTGGAAATGCACAGAAGATCTTGAGACTCCAACGTAAGCCGGCCACCTCCCTGCTTGCCGTGTCACCTTAGGCCCTGGAGATCTCTGGGGTTTTGCAGGGTCTGGTCAGGGAGACCACATGTGATCACGTGCGTGTGCTACCACAGCTGGGACTACCAACCCCGGGAGTCTGACTTCCCAGAAGGAAGTCACAATCCAGTGATGGGACGGCTGTGGCTGCTGCATAGACTCCCATGAGCTCACCCCTGGGTGCTTCCGAGCACTTATGGGCAAGGCCGTTTCCATCCCAGAAGGAAGGTCCTTCTGCTGCTAAACTTCCGAGCCTTACGGGTTTTCTAACAGACGGCGAGCATGTTTCTCAATGGACTCTTAGCCCTGGCATGCCAGTCGTTTCTTCATCCTGCCCCTGGTGCTATGTGAATGCGTATCCGCGCTCTTCTGCATCTCCATGTTCTTATTTTTTAAGAAAGTAGCCAGAAGAGTATTTTCCTCTCAAGGCTCTAGTGGAGAACAAGCAACTCTCTCTATATGCATCTTATCTACAGCTCATCGATGGTGCACGTCCAGCGGAGCCACTGGAGGGTGACTGAGGTGTTCTCAGCCCAGCTATGGCTCGGAACCCATTGGGCTCCGGGTGGCCCGGGTGCATGGTACCCTCTCTCCAGGGCCCGAGTGCTATGTGCACCCAGGGACACGCTCTAACTGCTCATTTCAACCTCCATTTTGGAGGCTCCACCACAGACAATGATGCCCATGACTAGCATGGTGGAGAGACCCCTCTCAAGCCCCCCACAAACAACCTGTTGGGCAAGGTCAACGTGCGGGACCTGGTTTTGCATGGAGTAGCTCATATGTATGCCCACAGCACTCACTCACAAGGAAGCACACACACTCACCGGATTCTCCAGCTCTCCATGAGCACAGATGGCACAGGTGTTGGCCTCCGTGCGTTGGGTTCACACCAACCCCATGTCCTGTGTGTTAGATGGGATTCTCTGTAAAGCAAAAGGAGCATTCTGATTTTTCTGAAATTATAAAGGATGATCATATCAGCACAGTCATGGATGCACGATTCTTAAAATACCACATGTTGTCTTTCCCAAACAAATGTTTGGGTTTTTTTTTTTTTCTGTTTTTTTTTTTTTTGGTACCTCATGACCTTTAACGGGATTTCAGAAAACACATAAATTCTTAAAAAGGGTCTCAATTTTAAGATTTTCATATGAGAAGACCTTCTTCCATCTATAAGGGGCACTAAGCTACAGAGGGAAGCATTGAATCAATTAAAATAGGCCCATCCTGGTTTTGTTCCCTTGGAGAGGAAAATGTAAATACATTCGGTCATAGTCAGGAAATCCTATTAAGGGTATTTTGTTCATGTTCTGCAGCTTCACAGACATGAGGGCACAGATACATCCTCTGCAGCCCTATTTGGGCAAGACATTTGCAAATCATCATCTGGTTTGCCTTCAGATTTTTACTCTTTTTTTTTTCAAGGGTGGATTAAGAATGAAACCTTCTCTCCAAGTTCTAAATGCTCTGAATGTAATAATCAACCATAACGAAAACCATTTCCTTTAGAGGATGAAGATTTTACTGTGGATCCCTTAACGCGGATCCCTGTATGTAGCATGGCTTTGGAGCACTGCACAATTACCAAGTCAAATGCCGTGGATTGCATAAAGGGTATTAGAAATTATTATAATGGTATTTGGGGGAGACAGAGCTCATTTCCTAAAGGTCTCCCTATGTCATTCTTATTAATGATTTTTTAATTTTTAATTTTATTTATTTATTTATTTATTTATTTATTTATTTATTTTATTATTTTATTTTTTTGTGCACTATCAATGCCAGGCAATTCAATACCATTTGGTCATTTCTTATGTCTGAGATGAAATGAAGCCAGGTGAGTTGGATTCTTCCGTTGTTTTATTTTTATTTCCCACTAGGCCTTTGGAGAGTTTTCTTCATTTTATCTGGTTTGACAGCTCCGTCAGAGTATGTCTAGGATTGGTTCCGTGTTTTTGTTTTCAGCGAGGCCTCCGGTGTCACATTTTCTTCTGACAATGCCTTTGGAGGACTACATCCGTCTTCTGTCATTTCTATAATTACCGCTTCTGAATCATCTTCTGGAGGGCTGGAAGGACTGAGTGGGTCCAAAGACCCGAGGGAAGTGTGGTGGGCCTGATGCAGGGAGGGCAGGGGACAGGGTAGGGAGACACGGAGAGGCCGAGGCACGAGATCATCAGGTCTTAGAGGGTACGGTGGGGTACGCACAGTTGTTTAGAGACCACAGCATGCAAGCGAGTCCCTGAGCATGGAGTCATGGCGGCTCCACGTCAGTGCTTGGAGAATGATCAGAAACGGCGAGTGAGCTCATCTAGTAGACTGTGATCACGGTCCAGCTGGGTGGTGGTGGCTGCCTCGGGGCTGGTGGCCACCATGATGGAGAATAGGGGGCAGACATGGAAGTATATGCCTTGGAGAGAATCGACAAAGCCTGAAAACATTGACTATGGGGGAGGATGAGAAAGAAGAGTCAGGCATGTGCCCTGCAATTCTGCTTTGTGCATCTGGGTGATGCTGTTTATCACAATAGGGAAGGCTGGGTGCATGGAAAGAATCATGCCTTTCCGCAAAAGCTCACATGTGCAAGCCCTACTTCCCCAGTGGGATGGTTTTAGGAGATGGGGCCTTGGGCAAGTCATTAGGGTCTGATGGGTGGCTGGTGGCTGCTTACTCTCCTTATAAGAAGAGAAGAACTCAATCTCTGTGTCATGTGAAGACATACAAGATGGTGGCCATGGACAAGCCAGCAAGAGCGTCCTCCCTAGAATCCAGCCCTGCTGGTCCCTGGATCTCACACCTCCAGCCTCGAGAACCGCACAGAAATACATATATTTGTTCTGCTCGGCCCCCTGGTCTGTGGTATGTTGTCACGGCAGCCCGAGTTAAGACACCAAGGGTGGTGGACTTTGGATGTCCTCAGCTTTCTTTCAAGGAGATCCTCTTTGTCTCTGAGATGCTCCCTGCGTCCTTAACGGTGTTGGTCATGGAGGAGTTACTCAAGCATTCTGACCATCTTTTGTCCCAATTAAGTCTGTCTAAATCTATTAAAATAATTGCAGTGGGGTGCTGGCAACTGGAAGGGACTAGGAGCCTGGTGCTTCTCATATTAATAACCAGACACAGGGGAGGACAAGGGATAGGATGGAGTCGTGAACCAACAGGAGGATGATTTGTCACTAGAGGACCCCTACTGGAGGGGATGTGGGAGATTTGTTGAAGATGCCTGATTGCCATCAGGATTCCTCTTATAAATCACCTGCATACGACAAGTTGTCATATTTGAATGTTGAAGAGTCGGCCGCCAGGATCCACTTAGCTGCTCATCATCCATGAGCCCCTCAAAAAGCTGCACCTGGTTTGTGGACCGGAGTTGTTGGGGGAATTTCCCAATCTTCCTCTACTGCGAAATATCCTTGTCCCCAGACAGAGACAGAGAATCTCAGTGGGACTGGACCCAGAATCATTTCTTCAGCCCCGTGAGATTTACACTCTGTAAGGGGTGGTTGAAATAATTATCTGTAGACACTAACTTGTCCTCTTGTCACATCAAGCAGATAGATTGGTATGTGCTGCATGATTTGGACTGATTTCCCTACCACAGTGTCAGATGTTGCCCCTACTGGCTATTTGGCCAGAATTCCCCAGAGATCATGCCTCATACCCAAATCCTTTGTTCAGACGTGCGTTTCCCAGGGCCGCCGTGACAAAATGCCAAAGTGGGTGTCTCTGAAAAACAATAGAAACGTATTCTCAGTTCTGATGCCTGGACACCCAAGGTTAAGGTGCCAGTAGGGTGGTTTCCATGTGGATTCTCTGACGGAGACGCTGATGCAGGACTCAGTGGTTTTCCAGGGCTTTTTTTGCATCTCAGCTTGTGGATGCATCTCCCCAACCTGCTTAGTTGTCTTTGGTTGTCTGTGCCTTTTTTTATAAGGACACTAGTTACAGTGGATCCAACCCACAGTCTCATCCTAACCAGTTGTGTCCACACAGAAACCTTGACACCACCTGCTTACCATAGCTCCTTCCCACCCAAGCTGTGCCTCTGAGGTCCCAGGGTGCCTCCCAAGGAGCTCACTGATCAATCTGGTGGGTATTCCACCAAATTTCTGGGATGTTTGGACTCCACACTAACAGGGTGCCCTCCTTGGTCTAGGAAAGGGTTTGATGGACCTGAGGCTTAAGTAAGGCTGCAAACATCAATTGCATTTTCATGAAATTGGATCTCTCTACTTTTTAAAAGGCACCCACAAGCATTGCTTGCAAGAGGAAGCGTTCTCAAAATATCCCTCAAAACACCCCACAAATACGTGTGAGGCTTAAGAACGCACATTTCTCCCTCTGCCCTTGTCTGGGCCGTCTCAGGCATTTCTTGTACTCACTCTTCATGACCATCTGCCCCATCTGGACCCTTTGTCCAGAACATTCTCTTCCAAATGATGCCACTTATCCTCAATCCTCCAAAGATAAAAGAGGGATAATCAACTCACTTGTGTGACGGACACATCGCAAGCCTCAATTTAGCCACCAAAGCTTAGCACACTGAGTGTCACAGGTGGTCCTGTGACCTTGTTTCCAGCCCCTTGGCCAACCTCACAGGGCCTCAGACAGAACCTGGGGTTGACTCAGGGCTGCCTGTCTATGGAGGGATTGGGCTTCTATCTTCCAGGCACTAAGTAGTAGAATAAAAATAGCCTTGTACACGTGTATTGGGTCTCCCTGATTCCTTGTAACCAAATTAAGACACTGATAATATTAAATCAGCCATTTTAATCATGTGGAGATGTACTGTCAGTGGCATGAAGCATATTCACACCATTGTGTGATCATTCCCACCATCATGCCCAGAATGTCATATTCCATTGTGTGCTCATCCACTCATCTGTTGATGGTCATTGGGTCGCTTCCACATTTCCGCTATCGTGAATCATGCTGCTCTGAACGTGGGTGTGCAAATGTCTCTCTGAGACCCCGCTTTCAGTTATTTGGGGTCTATACCCAGAAGTGGAATTCCTACATCATGGGGTAGTTCTATTTTTAATTCTCTGAGGCACCGCCATACGGTTTTCCACAGCAGCTGCGCCATTTTACATTCCCACCAACATGCACAAGGGTTCCAATCTCTCTACATCCCTGGAAATACTTGTTATTTCCCGTTCTTCTTCGTTTGTTGTGAGAGCAGCCAAGCTCATCAAGATGCCTAATTCCAGCATCATCCATACTGCCTGGAATCTGCACTGACCAACAACCTACACGGATACCTCCCTTGGTGTCTTCACATCTACTTGACATCTACCGTCGCAACCCGTCCAACCGTTGGCCTGAAATTCCCATAGAATATCTGGATGTCTCCCAGGATGAGGACAGAATGAACACTTACGAGCATCATTTTGGTGTTTGGCTGCAGCCAGGGGATAGGAGTTCTGGGGTTTTGGCCAGAGACTGTGCCCACTGATGGCTTCATCTGCTCCCCACATTTTCCCAGCATAGCTGGCACAGAAACATCAATGTGGGCAGTCCTGCCTGGTGCAATGTTATGTGTGCGAACATGTCTTTCTTCTTCCACATTAACTAAAGATGGCGGCGTTTCAGGTAGTGAGGTTGCCATGTCAGCTTGGATCTCCACGTCAGCATGGAAAACATGTATGTCCTGCGGACACACACACCTTTGTTGGGCTAAGCTCCTGGGGTTGCAATACAGCCGGGACTCCCCTGACTGGTTTAGAGGAAGAACACTGAGCCCTACTTGATTTGTATTACGTTTTGACCCTCCGAGGACTAACAAATGGTGTGTTAGCCTAATGCAACCTACTGATGGGAGAACAACTGAAATTCACCCAAATCAAACACAGCCAATGTGCTCCTCTCTGGCTGCCAAACAAGAGTCAAAAGACCTGCTGCTTGATTTTTTAGAGAAGAGTAATTATTTTCAGGGTCTTTAGAAAGCAGGATAAATTAGTGAATTTGAGAATCAGTTGGGTAGGTGATCCTTGGAATCGTCCATTTGTGTGGCATGTGCCACTTTATGCTTTGCCCCCTACTGTGCTCTTTTTTTTTCTATGTAGTAGCGAGTATACGATTGACATTGAAATCAGGTTGAAGTAGGTTCACTGGAGAACAGTTATGGGCCCAAGATGTGATCACAAGAAATAAGGACACCCACCCACTTTGCATTGGGTCCTTCCGCTACCCAGGGCAGGATAATAAATCTGAACTACTAAGATGATCTGAAGGGGCTCACATTCAGGATTCTCACAGAAATACACAGTTCATGGGGGTGTTTCAAGTTTCTATACCGAGTCACAGAATATGCTGGAGAAGTAAGAATGATCTCACGGAATAAATTCTAGCTACGTCAAAATCAAATCTTTCATAAAATGTGCCTGCTTTTCATGGTGGGAACTGATCCTTTCATCTGCCTTTGCTTGTAGCTTAAAAATGTGTAAATTGACTTATTTTTATATATATCTTCCTACTTATCATTGGTCCTATTTTGAGGTCCAAAAGGAGGCCAAAAATAATTGGTTTCAGAAGGGGATGACTGCAGGAAAATGCCTGACCTGACATCCGTGTCTCTCATCAAAAGGAGGAAGCGCAGCTAGCCTGATTTTCCATTTGAAAGTCAGAAATTGTCTTATTTCTAAGCAGAGTGGAAGGGATGAGCTTGGCTCCAGAGCTCAAGACCATAAAAAGCCAAAGGACTCATTAAAGCTTGAATTCAGATTCATAATTCCGAGCATGCCTTTGTCAGTTCCATGTCCGGTTTCAGATCTATAAGCTCCATTTTTTTTTTTTTTGGAAGAGTGGCCTTCTCTTTCCCAAACAATATACTACCAATTGCACATTCACAAAGTTGGCAGGAAACGCCAGGCTGGCTTGATTAATGGCAGCCACTGAAATGGAGCCTCTGTTATGTACAGGAGTTTGGGGCAAGCATTTAGTCATCTGGACATGTCTTTGGTCCCCGTCATCTCTCTCTGTGGTGCCCGGACGGGAACGTCAGAAGAAGTGGGAGCCTCCATCCTCCCGTGGAACCAGTGGGAATGGAGGTCTGTGTTGACGGCTCTCCAGTTTAGATTGAGGCGTGTGCAAAGTCAGGGCTGTTTGGTGCATCAGTCCGGAAAAGTGAACTTCGAGTCTGCCAACCTCATTACAACACGATGCATGAGATCGCCCCCTGGAAGGTCTCTGAGTGTGAATTTGTTGCAGGAAGACATGCGTTTGGAGAGTTTTCAAGGATATTCAATGAAAAGCCAAAGAACCACGGAGACCCCACAGAGGGCGGGCTTAGAAACACAGAATCTGATTTCCGAAGGCTCGGGGAGCCACCTGGAGCAGCTAGGTTTGCCTCAAGAGTGCGGAGCCCCATGCAGCCGACAAAGAACGGCTGGACTTACCCATCGGGAGCGCACATGTGAAGGGTCCTCCAGAGAATCAATGAAACGCCGTCAACCACCTGAAAAATCAGGCAGAGAGTCTTTTTTATTTCCCAAGGAGACTAGAAACCACATAATAATACAATAACTGTATCTCTGAGTGACTGTGTTTGCATGGTTAGGACCGATCGGTTGATTTTTACAGATAAACCAGAATTAAGAACTCTTACCAAGAAGCAAACATTTGTCATCTATTTTGGGTAGTGGCTGGCTTTTTCATTTATTTATTTATTTATTTATTTATTTATTTATTTATTTATTTATTTATTTTTTGCAAAGTGGTCCTTCCATGTCCCAAATACAAGCTCTGAAGGATCAGATATGTGGTTCCTGAATATTTCCTCCTGTTCTGCAGACTGTGTCTTCCCCCTGGTGATCACTCCCGTGGCTGTGCAACGTTTTTATTTGAGGCAACCAAAAAATCAATCAATGAATAAAATAAATACATTAAAAAAAAGCCATTCCTCTGCGAGTTAAAGGTTGCAGATCTCAGGTTTGAGTCTTTAATGCATTTTGAGTTAATTCGCGCCTGTGTGTGTGTGGACGGGGTGAGACAAGGCTCCAATTTCATTATTTTGCACGTGACTATGAAGTTTTCCCAATGGTGCATGTAGAAGGGACCACCCAGAGGGGTCTGCCCAGAATATACACCACCCCAATCCAAGAGAGCTCGTCTCCTAAAAAAACAAACCAACAAACAAAAAAACACACACACATAAAACATATTTTTTGAGCAATAAAATTTTTTTACTTTTTTTTTTTAAACCATAGGCAATTCCAGAGAACAAAGGAGAGGTATGCCCTTTTTTTAAAATTTTTATTTATTTATGATAGTCACAGAGAGAGAGAAAGAGAGAGAGGCAGAGACACAGGCAGAGGGAGAAGCAGGCTCCATGCACCGGGCGCCCGACGTGGGATTCAATCCCGGGTCTCCAGGATCGCGCCCTGGGCCAAAGGCAGGCGCCAAACCGCTGCGCCACCCAGGGATCCCCTCAATAAAAATTTTTTAAAGCAATGAAACAAAACAATATTCTTTAAGGCAATAAAGCAAAGTAAACAAAATGCTTCAAATCTCCCCAGTGAGGAGCACCAGGCAGGCTGAGTCTGCAGAGCATGAGACTCTCGATCTCAGGGTGGTGAGTTCGAGTCCCATGTTGTATACAGAGAACTGAAAAATAAAACCTTTTTTTTTAAAAAAAAAAAAGCCTCCCCCCCAAGAAGAAAAGTTTTCTAGTTAGTTCAGCTTCTAAAATTGCACCATTTCCTTTGTTCCATAACAAAGGATGGTAAAGAATCAGCTTTTAAACTGTGCATCAAAAATAAATAAATAAATAAAAATTAAAAAAAAAAACAACTGTGCATCAAGAGGGATGGTTTTGCTTAGAGTCCGTGACATGCGATGGACGTCGCTACAAATAGAGGCGGGAGGGACTGAGTCCCCACCTCGGGAGGTCGGAGCCAGATGTCCAAGCCCTGAGCGCCTGCGCGTCGCTGCTAATTAGACAAAGGACTCAAGCAGGCGGAGCTGCCAACACCGGAGAACCGGTGAGCGGAGTCGCGAATGGCAGAGATGCCCGAGCTCAGAGCGGGTGTAGCCCAACGGGGTTCACTTCTCCCAAACACTCAGAACCGAGGGAGTAATTCTCCATCATCCCCCCAAAATCCACAGCTTCCTTTTGTGTTGCCTGAAATACGCCCCGGCCTCTCAGGGCTCCTGCTCTCCGCAAACCAGGCACGGATCTGTGCACCAGGGGACGATGATCCCATTGACACTGTGTGGGCCTTGGGGCGGGTAGTTATGATGAAGAAAAGGTGTCGAGAGCTTAGTAGGGGTTGATGCTCAGAGGGGATCTGGGAATGACAAGGTGCTCCGGGGGACCTGGGGAGGAGGAGTTGCACCGGATGACCCGGGAATGAGCAGGTGTGCTGGGTGACACAGGGACCAGCAGGTGCACTGGGTGACCTGGGGAAGAGGAAGTGCTGGGTGACCCAGGAATGAACAAGTGTACTGGGTGACACAGGGAGCAGCAGGTGCACCAGGTGACCCAGGGTCGAGATGAGCAGGCACTGGGTGACCTGGGGATGAGCAGGTGTGCTGGGTGATCTGGGGAGAAGCAGGTGCTGAGTGACCCAGTGACCAGCAGGTGCACCGGGTGACCCAGGGATGAGCAGGCGCTGGGTGACCAGGGATGAGCAGGTGCTGGGTGACCTGGGGATGAGCAGGTCTGCTAGGTAACCCCAAGAAAAGTGGGTCTTCCAGGTGACCAGGTGTGCTGGGTGACATTAGGAATCCACCAGGGCCCCCACCCCAGGCTTCTCTGTTTCCCCAAGGACAGCAGGTTGTTGAGGGCACAGGCAGGACTTAAATATTTGGTGACGCCCTTACTGACCTGTAGGCAAGGGACCAGGTCTCGATCACCTGCATTTTCGTGGGGCTTTTACTCTCTCACCTGCCTCCTTCTAACTTACACCCACGTGTGCAGCCCCCGGGTCTCCCTGTCTTCTTTCTCGTACACACACAGACACTGATGCACACAGATGATCATATTTTACTGATTTCCTGTTGCTTGGGGATTTTTTCAGCCTTGCACCCCTAGTTCCTAGAGCCTGCTGCATACAGTAGTTGCTGCATAAATGCTCCCTGCACGCAAGAATCCGTGCATGCATGAGTAGTCGAGGTGCCCGCCTTTGAAATCTTGCACTTGGATTCCAGTTCTTTCTCCACCACCCTCTGCGCTCGTGACCTTGGGACAAGCACTAGGACATCCTGGGTGTGCGTCGGCCCACCTGCCAGATGGTGACCTCATGACCCCGCGGGACGGTTGCGGAGGACGGATGGATGGACGGACGGATGAGAACAGAGCCCGCCTCTTGAAAACACGCGGCCACTGGCCCATCTCGTTACCAGGGCAGGAGCCGCGGAGTCCGAGCAACGAGGTTGGAAAATCGTCTTGGTGGCGAGACGCAGAAACGTGACAAGTGCCGCCGTTTACCTGACGTCGTTTCTGACGTGGAGGGACAGGAGCAGAGGCGGGCGGGCGCCTGAGGGCAGGGACGGGCGGATGAGCACACGGGACTTTTAAGAAAAAGACTTAATTTTTTCAGAGCCTTTCCAGATGTGCAGCGACGGAGAAGCAGGTGCAGAGAGAAGCCCTCATCCTTGTGGCCCTGCGAATACCCAGTCTGTGCCGCCATGAACGTCCCCACCGGACGGGGCGCTTGCTCCCATCGATGGGCCCACGTGGACACGTCATCCCAGACTGGCGAGGTGACATTAGGGTCGCTCCTGCCCTTGTGCCTCCTGTGGGCTCACACAGACGTCTAAGGACGTGTACTCAGGACTACGGGGCTGAACGGGGTCATGGGGCAGGGAAAACACCGTGTGATCCCATGGGGGCAGCTACGTGTGCATCGACACCTGCGGGCTGGACAGCATCCAGAGGCACCCAGGTCACCCAACACACCTGCTCCTCCCCGGGTCACCCATCACCTGCTCCTCCCCGGGTCACCCGGTGCACCTGCTGGTCCCTGTGTCACCCAGTGTGCCTGCTCATCCCCAGGTCACCCATCACCTGCTCATCCCCGGGTCACCCAGTGCCCCTGCTCATCCCCACGTCACCCATCACCTGCTCATCCCCGGGTCACCCAGTGCACCTGCTGGTCCCTGTGTCACCCAGCGCACCTGCTCATCCCCACTTTACCCACCATCTGTGCTTCCCCAGGTCACCCATCACCTGCTCATCCCCAGGTCACCCATCACTTGCTCCTCAGGGCATGACCCCGGGGTCCAGAATCGAGTCCGGCATCCAGCTCTCTGTGCAAGCCTGCTTCTCCCTCTGCCTGTGTCTCTGCCTCTCTCTGTGTCTCTTATGAATAAATAAACAACATCTTAAAAAATAAATGAAAAGCGGCAGGTGTTAACCTCCAGAAGCTGGAGGTCACGGATCAAGTCCCCAGCACGTGCTGGCACCTGCACAACGTAATAAACCCACAATAAAGAGTGCGGCTCGCCCACCCAGGCCGCCCTGGGAGTTCCACAGACAGGAAGTAACACGCGTGTGCAATGGTCGGTGCCACGGAGACATCGGGAGGCTCGCGGGCGGAGCAGAGGAAGCAGCCCCTTGCTCTCAGTGAAAAATGTGCATAAAGTCCAAGGGGACTTGGGTCGTAAGGGGAGCCGCAGAGGGGAGCTGGGTGATTGACAGCCCGCCGCGGCCAGATGCCAGCACACACCCCCACCCCGCCCTGGAGGTCACAGGATGACTTCCGATGGCGACAATCTGCGTTTCGGTGTGGCCCCAACACGCGGGTGCGATGAGAGCCCCAAGGTGGTGAGGTCACCGCGGTCACTGTCCCCGAAGCCTCGCGTCCTGCCCTCCGCGGCCCTGGACCTGGTCCTCTCTCATGGACGCGACCCTGCTGCGGAAGAAATGAATACCGTGCGCTCGCCAGGACCCGGGAGCTGGAAGCCCTGCCCGGATGCCACGGCTGCGTGCTTCCGTCCGTTGTCACGGTCACTTTGCAGGTGCAAATATTCCGCACGTCTTGGGAGAGCTCGTGGTTCTCGTCTCCGCGGGAGGAGGCCTGTGCCGCTTGCTAAAAGCGCTTGCCCGGCTTCGCCTGCGGAAACCGGACTCCTTCGGGATGCTTCGCGGACTTGGTGCATTCGGCGTGTTAAATTCCGCTTTATAGAAAGATTCAAGGGAGGTTTTCCGAAGCTGTGCAAATATCCCGTTCCTCTGGCCGGTCTTGGCCTTCACCGCCGGGCCCTCGCCGCAGCCCGCCTGCCGATTGTGTCCCTTTGTTTGCGGCGTCTCCTCCTTTGCGGTGCATGTGTCTTCTGTGCGCTGGCTTGTCTTTCCGACGAGCTGCCGCACGACTCTCTGGGTTTGGCGGTGGGCATTCCTGAGGCTGACACGAAGCCAGATTTCTCAGGAACGCCGGGGCGGGGGGCCCCTTAACGGGGGCTTGGATGTTTTCAGACCGCCCAGTGGTCTTGAGCGTAGTTTCATGGGGTGGC